ATCATTAATAGGCAGTCGTTCGATGGGCTGAATTGCACAAAACGTATGATTGCACCGGCTAGTCTGATGCGCGTTGCCATTTATTTTTTGCTCCTGCTGTCTCAAAAATCACAGATTAGATGAAGAACAAATGTGAGCAAAAAAGATCTGCATATATCCCCCGAACTAAAAAAACTTTGAATTCTTTATGAATATCATTTCACTTACTCATTGTCTCCATCATTTGCATGACTTTCGCTGTAATAAACTGATATTCCGGATCTCTGAATGCTTGACACAATAAAGCCGGTTCCAGTGTTGCTGTAATTTTATCCATGCGATATGGATCTTCATTGAACAGTTTGTAATAATATTCTAACGATTGGGGCGGTATATCCTCGTAAATTTCATCAAGTAAATCTTTATTGCCTACAAAAAAAGCCTGATTTGAGCACAGCAAATAAAATATTTAATAACTGCTTTAAAATTACGCTAGATAATTCTCAGCAAGACTTCCTGCTTCTTATTAAAACAGGGCCTTTTGTCATCAGAAAAATGCAACGGCGTTTGATATTTCTGGATAGCACGTAATTTCAAGTACAAACTCTTTCGAATTTTATATATATGCTAAAAACTGACAAGCTTGTTCCTTTACTTCCACACTTCGCTGTCTCTTATCACAGTTCTAAATCCATGAATTTCGAAAGTTCGTGATACACAGAAGTGTGATGACATTGCTCAACTTTGTTTAAAATTCAGTTTTTTATGATATTTGTGCTGCAGAAATGGTGCAAAACGCGTATTGTCAAAATTCTACGCACGTGTGTATATGTGATATATATATATATATATACATATGTGTGTGTGTGTACGTGTACGTGTGTGTGCGCGCGCGTGTGTGTGGCTCGAGTGAATTTAGTCTGGGTTTTTCAAATCAGGAGCAAGAAAAGGCAGGGGGTTGAAATTTTAGAAAGGTGTTCCGTGTCTTACGTGAGATACCCGAAATCTAAATTCAGCCTCACGTACGCCTATGTTTCAAGTGGGAAAGTTTAAGGCAAGGAATATTCTAGCTCGCATACCAGATGAGATAGAAATCTGCGATTTTAGAGTGTTTAATGGCCGTGGGCAGCAAAGAACTTTCTTAACAACAAGCGTCCGTTGAAATAGAATTGTGTAAAACGCACGATCGACCGACTAGTTGGCGCGTACAGCTACTTGTCTATTTTTTGCAGCAGGGAAACAAGCCAACCGAGCGTTTGCAAACTGTGGAACATAAACGAATGCCGGAATGCGATTCAAACACAACGAGCGTCTATGAAAAATGCGAGAAGTGACTGCACACACAACATGCCTCCAATAGCTGAATTGAGTGTACAAAGCTTTATTAATCCGATGGTAATTGCTACCAGTAGCACATTATTTAAATCAATTTGAACGACGAATCATCCTCCCCGTTGCCTCATTTCACGTTCCTGGACCGGCGGCATACATCTAACATCAAAAGCATAAATTATGCAGTTAAAGTATATTCTGTGCTTTCTTCCAGCGTTTCCATTCCTTTAAAATTTTGGCATTCATACTTTTGCTAGCTAGCATAAGTAGTCGATCCATAGCTTCACGATTGCCGCATACTGCAGTCCAGAACAGATCCAGTGCCGTCTCTCTAGTTGTATTAACCTCGAAGAGCTCTAGAATCCCAGAAAAATTGCCTGGAACAAATCCAAATTTATTTTTTCTGACAACTTTTTCAAAAGTTTAGATCAGAAATCCGTTGCGATCATAGCAGAAACAGATATTTGGTTAAGAATACCCAGTACGATCAGCGAATCTAACTGATTTCATGGACAAACGGACTGATAGTCACGAAAGCAATAATGGCTTTAAAATTCGAAAAGAGACCAAACTCAAAACATGAAATACTCTTTCCTAAAGAGGAA